TATAACGTGGCATGGCAATTAGCCCGCTGCTTTATAGGGCAGATAATCTTCTGAATTACAAGAAGCAGAAATCGCAGAAAAATGTGTTCCTTGGAATATTAATTCGAAACGTTTCTTGCCGCACAAACGCGCGAAAACCGCAGATAAAAACGAACGATTCCTGCGTTTTATAAAGCTTCGTATCAATGAAACGGCTGTCTTTAACTGTCTTCTTGGCCGCTATAGCGCCCGGGAAGTGCCCCACGTTCCTCTAGGTTTTATCGAAGCCTAACTCGCCTCNCTCCCCCCTCTCTCTCTCTCTCTCTCTCTCTCTCTCTCTCTCTCTCTCTCTCCCTCTCTCTCTCTCTCTCTCTCTCTCTTTCTCTCTCTCTCTCTCTCTGTGTGTGTGTGTGTATATGTGTGTGTGTATGTCTCTCGGATAAAAATTACACCTTCGTGTTCCCGTGCCGGAAAGTGGGGCAAAACCGGGCGCCTAATGAACTTTTCCTGCTGGCAAAAAGTTTGATGGCTAAAAGGACTTCGGGCACCGCTAGAAATCCTGATTGGACTTCATAGAATCAGTAAGTGCTTTTCTGAAAAAATTCCTTCACTCTTGCCGAACAGTTTTACCTTGTTTAGCCGAGATCGACCGTTTGTGCTATAATTTTGTCTACTGTTGCGTTGATCAGCGCTTCTTTGTGCTTAATCATTTCCCCGGTAGAACGCCAGACAATTTCGATTTTTTGTATCTCTTCATATATTTCCAATCTCAGATTTTGATGACGGCAGAGTCTCTTTCGATTCGGGCGAAATGCGTTTAGGCGGATTACGAATGAAATCGTCACCAGGACTCGTTGTTACAGTGCGAAGGGTTGACGATCAGTATAACGTGGCATGGCAATTAGCCCGCTGCTTTATAGGGCAGATAATCTTCTGAATTACAAGAAGCAGAAATCGCAGAAAAATGTGTTCCTTGGAATATTAATTCGAAACGTTTCTTGCCGCACAAACGCGCGAAAACCGCAGATAAAAACGAACGATTCCTGCGTTTTATAAAGCTTCGTATCAATGAAACGGCTGTCTTTAACTGTCTTCTTGGCCGCTATAGCGCCCGGGAAGTGCCCCACGTTCCTCTAGGTTTTATCGAAGCCTAACTCGCCTCTGCAGACGCCTCGCGATACGATATCCTCGACAGGTACAATCGATATCCTGTGACTATTTCTCATGCAACGCGCTGCATCCCAATTCAAACGCGCTGCATTGTGCGCCGCAGGCAGCCGTGTAACCGTCGAAGAAGTTACATAATTTAACGGAACGGGTAGAAACTTCCTGCGCGTATAGGCGAATGAGATTTTTTTTTCGCCAGTGAAACCGCATCCGCGCGGCGTTGCACACGGTGTGTGTGTGTGTGTGTGCCATGCCACCTTGTTGCTCCAGTTCCCGGAGCTAAGGCAACAATGCAAACGGAAGAGATCGAACGTTCGCCGCTTGCTTATAATATCCCTAGTCGCATGCTGTCGTTATGTTTGTGACGTGTTATACAATAGCATTGTAAATAAACCGCGGAAATAAAGAAGGACAATAGAGAACGATAGAAAAGATATCGCGCTATGGCACTGGAAATATTAGCGAGGCGTTTCGGGATACCACTTTCGGCTGGTTATTATTATATTGTTATTATATTATTAATATTATTATTCGCGATCGGTTAACGCCAGATCTTGACGGAACCCGTCAAAATGACGGGTCACTAATTTTTCAATTTATCGCATCATTCGTATCGCAAAGATACATTTATGTGAGTTTGTTCATTCGATTTATATGTTACTCGCGGCAAACGTTGCAATAACGCTTGTTAAAAATCAGAAAAAGACGTCTTTTTGTTACTTTTTATAAACTAATATAAAACAGCTGTTTTCTGTGCTCCGTGAATCTAGCGTTAAAAACGACTCTTAATACTTAAAACTAGATTATTATTAATTGTTATCAGTTGGATAGTATTGAAATGTTAACCAGATGGACAAATCTTGTCAGCAATGGAATGTGTTACAAAAATATGTCATCGCGTCGCGCGTATTTTCGACCGAAATATAGGACTTATTTATTAACCCTTTGCACTCGAAGCCATTTTAACCGTAAATCTAAATTCATTTCTCTGACTTACGGTATTTCCATTTTATTATATGACAAGGTGCATTTTATGCATATGAAATTTAGTCTTGTGACTAAATACAACAATTAGACTGTTAACAATTTTTTACATCTGAACTTTTATAATATAAAAATTATCTTGAAACGCGATGTTACAATTTTAATGTTGCCTCAGAGTCACCACTCGAGTGCGAAGGATTAAAGGAAATACAATGTATTCATCGCGCAAAGAATAACTACGATCGGAACGCATAAACGAGATCTAATATACACATACAGCAATTACGAGATCTTTTCGGTCTTTCTAACTGTTTCAGTGAAAACCTGATAAATATAACCAACAGAGCCGAAACGGTCGCAGCGTCGACGCTCGTCCAAGCGTCGAAAAAGCAGTAAAAAAGAATCAATCGGCGCGGTAAAGAGATCGGTAAAAGCCGATCCTTCGAGGCACCGAGGTTATCGCGCTTCTACCTGTTTCTCCCGGTTTCCCAATGCAAACGCAACCAGGAAGGTTTCTTTGCCGAGCTTATGCCGGATAATTTCCTAAGGTGAAACGAACGCCGGTGCGTGAATAATCGCGCGGCTGTTGCTCGTTTTGCTCGATTAGTACCGCCGCAAGTACGCCCCGGTGTATACAATAAGGTGTACCGACGGGTAATAGGTATCCGTGACAAACCAGTCGGCGCAACAATGTTGCGGCTGGAAAAATGACGAACAGGTTCGCGCTCGGCGCTGGATGCGGCGGCGGCGGCCTATCGATCAAACCCGGGAAAAGACGGATAGCGGGAAGAATCGCGAAGGATGGGGGACGGGGGGGTCATATCGGGAAAAGGAAAACGGATCGGGCGAGACGCGGTCGTCACCGGTTCCAGGCCCGGATTGGCCCCCAGTTGTCACGTTTAATTTATATGTTAATGAGCGCATGTCACATTTCAACGGTACGGAGCAACCGCCCCGTGCACTTCCACGCGAGCACCAGAAGAGAGCTTGCCCCGTTCATTCCACTCTCCTCCTGCCCTCCTTCGCGGTGGCTGCCACAGGTTTATATTTAACCGCGCGCCACACACCATGGCACTCGACACAGCGCGCAGCCCACTTTGCCGCGTTACTCTCCTGCCTTCTACTCTCTTTCGATCTCCTCTACTCTCTCTTTCTGGCCCCCCGCCCGTCTCCCCTGGCCGCACTCTTCCTCGGGAACCTCTTCTTCTTGTTCTTCTTGTTCTTCTTGTTCTTCTTCTTCTTCTTCTGCTTCTTCCGTGGACTTCGCCGGTTCAACCATGCCCACCCCCTGTCCCCTTTCAATTTTCTGGCTTTTATTCTTCTGGCCAGCCTCTTTGCCACCCGGTCGCCGATTCCGCTGATTCGAGGCTTCGCTTCCTGGAACAGTTTTGCCCGATGACTTTTCTGATGTCGCGTCTAGGTCTTCTATTGTGCGGCTCTAGCGGTTCAATAGCATGAGAATTTAACCACGCGCGCGCCGAGGCTTTTCTCCGGGGCCTGCACTTTTATTGCACCGGCTACCGGCTACCGGCTGATCCGGGCAGATTTCGTTCGAAATGAAAACAAGGGAACGACTGTTCGGAACGATTCGTTCCGAACCGTTATCTTCGACGCGGTTATTTGAAGATAAAAATAATATCCATCCGTTCGAAACAGCGGCGATTGCAATTGACGGATTATTTCGTCATTTGTGATTTTGAAGTATGAGACGAAAAATATGTCATTCTCGAAATAATACGCAGTGATTTTAAGTATGTCTCCTCGCACGGTTCATCCTTAACCCTTTGCACTCGAGGCTATATTTTAAATGTGAATCTAAAATCATTTTTCTGACTTATAATATCTTTATTTTATATGACAAAATGCATTTTATGCATGTGAAATTGACTCTTGCGACTCGCACAATAGTTAGATCTTAACTTTGTTGATGTAAAAATTATATGAGAACGTGATTTAACAAATTTTAATGGTGCCTCGGAGTCACCACTAGAGTGCAAAGGGTTAACACCAGAACTACCAAACGAGTCAAGATTTCTTCACAACTGCTGGATATTATAAAAATGTTTCTGTGATATAATAAAAATTGCACGAAGTTTAAACGAATCGAATCTCGCCACATTTTATCAAATATAATGTTAAGAGATTTTTATCCGATATCGTCGTGAAAGGAAATAATCGTTCACCCGGCGTGGAAGATGTAAAAAGAGAGCGATATTCGTCAGAAATATGTTTCTCGTTATCGGCTGATCATTCGACATCGTCGAATCGGTCCTTTTAATTATCGCGAATCTCGGGTATAATGTTAAAGTGTCGACGAAAGTTACGAATTCGACGCAGTTATTTGAAGATAAAAATAATATCCATCCGTTCGAAACAGCAGCGATTGCAAATGACGGATTATTTCGTCATTTGTGATTTTGAAATATGAGACGAAAAATATGTCATTCTCGAAATAATACGATTTTATTTTAAGTATGTCTCGTACGGTTCATCCTTAACACCAGAATTACCAAACGAGTCAAGATTTCTTTTTTTACAATTCCTAATATTATACAAATATTTCTGTGATACAATAAAAATTGCACGAAGTTTAAACGAATCGAATCTCGCCACATTTTATCAAATATAATGTTAAGAGATTTTTATCCGATATCGTCGTGAAAGGAAAATAATCGTTCACCCGGCATGGAAGATGTAAAAAGAGAGCGATATTCGTCAGAAGTATGTTTCTCGTTATCGGCTGATCATTCGACATCGTCGAATCGGTCCTTTTAATTATCGCGAATCTCGGGTATAATGTTAAAGTATCGTCACGGTCGACAGGGACCCAGACCTCGCTGACCACTGACCCGGTACCTGTTTGATTCCAGAAATGCTCGGACTACAAGGCCTCGAAGGTGAACACGTTCGCGAGGACCGAGCCACCGGACACGCAGGTGACGAAGTCGGTGATCGCGTTGCTGCTCAACTATGGCTGGAACAAATTCACGATCATCACGGAGAGCGCTTGGTCGACGGTCGCCCGTTCCCTGGAGGAGCAGGCGATCAAGCACAATCTCACCGTGAACCACTACAAGACCGTCGAGGACCGGCACACTTGCTGCGAGGAGCGGATGCCCTGTTGTCAAGGCAGCGCGTGGTTCCAGCTAATACAGGAGACCAAAAACATGACTAGGAGTCAGTCTAAACTACCCTTGCGATTCCTGTAGGGTCGATCGGATCTTCCTGGGGACTATTTAACTCGGATATTTCGGGAAATGTTCTGAAAGCTTGCTCTAGGCTCACGGATCTTCGTAAATTTCTGAACGATCTCTTCGAGGCCTCCACGGGTCAAAATACACATTTCTGTAGAGAGGATGCTTGTTGATTGTTTTAACACTAAATATACCGAAGACTAAAAGCGACCGATGCGCTCTGAGTTGAATTCGATTTTTCGCCATTTTTATTGTAATGTAGGCTCGCGTTAAAGATATTTGTTTAATCCCTCGCAGATGTTGCTTGATAGCATTTATTCAGAAATTTAATCCTGCTCAAATCGTATATTTTGCACGCCGTCTTATTTTATCTATTCGTCACTTGGATAAAAATAACTATGTTAGCTAACGAACGATTTAATAATAGAGAAACGATAGGCAATTTTTATACCAGATTCTTGAATTTCGAGTTAATCATTTACTGTCGACAGATTCCTTTATAACGTGAACAGCTGAATTGTTTAAAATTTAATTTCTGATCCATGAAAAATTCTTAATTTCATTCAGATTCGCAAGATGTAAGAACGTTGGAAATAGTATAATCGACGTCATACAACTTTGCTTCGCAAGTTTCATTTAACCGATTGAAACACTTTAATTCAATGTGAAATATTTTCAGATTATAGACTACATTGAAATAAAAATAGCGAGAAATCTACGTAAATCCAATCTTCTCAATCCCACTAGAGCAATATCATACTTCAGCCGTTTCTAGTCTTCGCCAGGCTTAGTCGTGGAATCTTAAAACAAAAAAAAACTATATTATCTCAAAGATTCCGACGAATGCGTTAAGTATTCCCGGTCGAGGATCCGACGCCCTTTTTCCGAAACGCCGATGCTCGACGAGCACGATCTCCAGACAGGCTGCTCCGCGGCTCGCGGAAACACCCCGAAGAATTTGCGAGCCGTGATTCATGCCGGTAGCACGCTCGGTCATCGAACGATCTCGGCCAGCTCTCGGGCTGTTACAGTTCACCAGTCCGGTCCCGGGCATTTCCGCGCGTTTCCTTCGCGATACAGTTGGGCCGCTGTTCCGTTCGATGATCTCATTGATAACGATCGCGCGGGGAACCGAGCGGCGCGCTTTCCTACGCAGCAGAAACAAGCGTGAAAGTCAGTTCCGTTCTGGAAATCGGCTCGCGTCGTGTCCCGGCCCGCGTTCGATCCTGCCGTCCCTCTAACGGAACCGGCGGATCTCTGCCCGCAGTATACATATTCCTGGGCACGGCGATGTCGCTGATCGAAATGATGAACGCGATGCAGAACCAACGGCTGCTGGACAACGGGGAGTACATGGTGATACACGTGGACATGATGACGTACTCGCCGCGCGAGGCGCAAAAGTACTTATGGAGTGAGTAGACCAAGAACCGCGGAAATTCCGGATTGTGACCCTGTTCCCAGGTCCCTCGGATTACTATACGTCCCTTCCCTCTCTTTCTCTCTTCTTGGCGGCTTCTTCGGGGCCGGCGCACCGTTCCTCGTTACCTCGTCATTTCCGTATCGAATGCCTGATTAGCTAAACGCCGTTGGGTCAGGCGCTGGCTCGTGACCCAGTTCACCGGACGGACACTCGCGATCATGTTTTCAAAGATCGCGTTCCGGCCCCCGCTCCCCCCTCCCCAGGCCTCTAAAAGCTTCCGTTTCCTGACCAGCCCGCCGCTCTTTCAGAACCGGACCACTTCGAGAACCTACGCAACTGCTTGGAGCCGAAGGACTTCCTGAAGAAAGCGCGATCACTGATGGTGGTGGTGTCCACGCCGCCCACGCAGAACTACGAAGAGTTCACGAAGAAGGTCCGCGAGTACAGCAGCAAGGAGCCCTTCAACTTCATCATCCCCGAACTGCTGAGGAAGTACGAGAAGGTAGCGCCCGAACAGATGTTATCTGGCTTTCGTGTTAGATCGTCCAGCGGCGATTTTACCCATTTTCGACATGGAAATGCTGAATTCGTTTAGGGTTATTTCGGATTTATTCGGGTCGTCGGAACGCGAACGAGTTTATACTTTTCGCGGTTTTTCGAGCGCGCAGCAATAGGCGACCTCGAAGCAATAAGCGACTTCAAATGGTTGAGTTTTGTTTAAGGAAGACGTTAGACTGAATTAGACGATGATAATTCGTGATCTAGTGGATGAAGCGCGAAATTTATCGGTTCAAGACGTGCCTGAAAAATAGAGGATCGTTGGTGAGAGCATTGTACGCACTGCCCTAAATTGAACTTATTTTTCTAGGCCGATGATCTAGATTTAAATGGAATATAGTAAATTCTCCCTAATTGGCGCTCAAATTGTGCAGAAAAATGAACAATTTGGGAAGAGGAGATACGATTATTCGAGCCTTGGGGCGTGTTTTTAATAGTTACCTATTGCCGACAACCATAAAAGCCAGCCGCAAGGCTCGAATAATCGTATCTCCTCTTCCCAAAATGTAGCAATTTTTAGATATACAGTCAATTCTCTCCAATTGTCTCGATCGGTTTGGAAATAAAAATGAATAATTTGGGGAGAGGAGATGCAATTATTCGAGCCTCGCGGCTCGTTTTTGCATCTCGTCTTCCAAAATTGTTCATTTTCTGTTTACTGGCTGAGCGACAATTGGAGAGAATTCACTGTACTTTTTCTTTTATCGAAGCATATATTATAATGGAACGAAGTTTATGTAAATCCAATATTATTATTGTTACAAAACCATGTGCATCAGTCGCGTTTTGGACTTGGTATAATTCTAGTGTTAATTGTTTCGCGTAGTCTTGTGTAAAAAAATCCACGCGACAGTCTTTTTTAAAATAATCAGTCCTACCTTAATTGATCTACCGCAACAGAAAGTTCGATTTCGTTATCCGAGCCAGCTGAGCCAAGCTGAGCTTCGATCAAGGTAGAATTTCCTGTATTGTTAGAACCCTGACCAATGGACACGAATCGAAAAACTCGCTTTTCAATATACATAGTCCGCGTTGCGGAGCGGACACTGATCTAGCTGCGACAGGTTGATCGAAATCAATGATCCTGGTTTCCTGTTGCAGTACGTGTCGATTCACGCGGCGTACCTGTACGATTCCGTAAAGCTGTACGCGCGGGCCCTGGACCAGCTCTTGCGGGACCAGCCGGAGCACACGCTCGAGGAAATCGCGAGCAATGGCACCCAGATCATCGAGACGATTATCAGGAATCATACGTATCAAAGTAAGTACGTATAATCCGCGAGCGGGGCAATCTCTGAATCGGCCGAAGCTCGAGATAGGCGTCGAGTGGCTGCCGGTACTCTCGGTACGATCGACGACTCGACAAGAGCGAGATCCGATTAACGAGAGATATCCGATCACGATTTTGCTTACATAGTCAGCTTTGATAATTGCTACTGGGATCGCTCGAACTCTAGAGAGAGAGAGAGAGAGAGAGAGAGAGACCGTTCGCCCATTAACGCGGGGACTCGAGGAGCAGCGAGCCTATTCCGCTGGGCCAGATAACGATCGTCGAGCCTCACGTGTGACAAGACGCGTTTGCCAACAGGTGTCAGCGGCGCGACGATCAAGTTCGACAAGTTCGGCGACTCGGAGGGGAACTTCTCGGTGCTGGCCCTGAAGAAGGACCCGTTCCGCTTCAACAACTTCTCCTGCGATTATCAGATGAAGCCCGTGGGCCAATTCCAACAGGGTGAAACTCTAGTGAGTGAGTTGTTTAAAGCAACTATTCGCGCGGATATACGTTCACGGTCGGGTCAATTAAACGACCATCACACACACACACACACACACACACACACACACACACACACACACCTTCCCCCTAAATCGCGATCACGGTTCGGCGGGACAACCCGCCGCCCGTGGAGACCCGCGTCCAGACGGTAACAAAAGACATCGATCGGTCCGTTGCGCAGGTGTACAGGCCGTCGGAGTCGATGGACTGGCCCCTAAAAAATAAACCGGAAGCGGAGCCAGGCTGCGGTTTTCTCAATGAACACTGTCCGAAAGACGACACGCACCTGCGCAGCATCGTCGCTGCCGGTGTGCTCGCCGTTTTGCTCTTCTGCGCCGCGGTGATCACCATGAGCATATACCGGAGGTGGAAGATCGAGCAGGAAATCGAAGGGCTGCTCTGGAAGATCGATCCGAACGAGATACACGGCTATCCTCATCTTGACAACATGATGTCCTCCCCTAGTAAGGTAAAGGCTCTATACTTCCAGCCCAACGAGAATCCTCTGTTACCCCCTCTCTGTGCAAGGCACACCCCTTTTACGACCCGACACTCCCACGAGCAAGGTCACAGACGGGAGAAAGCAAAAAGTAGGGGAACAGGGCTTCTAATATTGTTGTTAGTCTGTGTTAACCCTTTGCGCTCCGAAGTATTTTCTTACTTTTATTTCGGAATTTGCTAGAACGCAAACTTTGCAACTTAACTAGAAGTTAAAAATGTACGATTCTTCTACCTACCATGTAATTGTGTAATTTGCCACGTGATTTATTAACGAATGTAATGCGAAGCTACGAAAATAAACTATTAATGCAAAAGTGAACGTCGAGTCTGACTCGAGCGCAAAGGGTTAATCGTTCGATGTTAAATTTGTTCGACGACGTAACGTTGTATATTCCTGCATATTTTTATTATTAACAAAGTATTTTTCAATGACAAGTTTTTGACATTGAATACCGTATAAATTATCCTTGAAATAGAGTACTCTCTTTTGAACGCTATTAAAAACGACTGAAATTCGTTGAAAAATGATACATTTCATTATAGAGAGGAGTACGGTAAATTCTCCCTAATTGTGCACAAAAATGGACAATTTGGGAAGAGGAGATACGATTATTCGATCCTTGCGGTTCATTTTTATAGTGACGAATTGTCGACAACTATAAAAAAACGAGCTGCAAGGCTCGAATAATCGTACCTTCCTCTCCCCAAATTGTCCATTTTTCTGCATAATCTGAGCATCAGTTAGGGAGACATTACTGTAATTCGTTCAATGCATAGAAAAATGTTACATTTCATTATAAAAAGGAGTACAATAAATTCTCTCTAATTGTACACAAAAATGGACAATTTGGGAAGAGGAGATACGATTATTCGTTCCTTGAGGTTCATTTTTATAGTTACGAATTGTCAACAACTATAAAAAACGAATTACAAGGCTCGAATAATCGCATTTTCCTCTCCCCAAATTGTCCATTTTCCTGCACAATCTGAGCGTCAGTTAGGGAGAAATTACTGTAATTCGTTCAATGCATAGAAAAATGATACATTTCATTATAAAAAGGAGTACAATAAATTCTCTCTAATTGTACACAAAAATGGACAATTTGGGAAGAGGAGATACGATTATTCGTTCCTTGAGGTTCATTTTTATAGTTACGAATTGTCAACAACTATAAAAAACGAATTACAAGGCTCGAATAATCGTATCTTCCTCTCCCCAAATTGTCCATTTTTCTGCACAATCCTCCTCGATTAGGGAGGATTTGCTGTAACGCGTAAAAGCAACCACGTGACCTGTCTCTTATACACATCTAGATGTGTATAAGAGACAGATATTATAATATCTCAATATATATAATATTATATATATTGAGATATTATAATATCTGTCTCTTATACACATCTAGATGTGTATAAGAGACAGATTCGTTCCTTGAGGTTCATTTTTATAGTTACGAATTGTCAACAACTGTAAAAAACGAGCTGCAAGGCTCGAATAATCGTACCTTCCTCTCCCCAAATTGTCCATTTTTCTGCACAATCCTCCTCGATTAGGGAGGATTTGCTGTAACGCGTAAAAGCAACCACGTGACAGTTTCCTTAAAAATAATCAGTCCCACCTTGATTGATCTGCCACAACAGAAAGTACCATTTTGTCAGCCGATATTGCACAAGCTCCGTTGCATTTCCGTTCCAGTTAAGCTTAGTTAGTGCAATGTCCTACGAGTCAAGGTGCGGCGGCCAGGTGTTCGCGCAGACCGGCCACTACCACGGGGTGGTGGTCCGCATAAAGGAGCTGAAGTTCTCGAAGAAGAAGGACATATCGCGGGACGTGATGAAAGAAATGCGAATCCTTCGGGAAATCCGACACGGTAATCTGAACTCGTTCATCGGGGCGTGCGTCGAGCCGATGAGGATATTGTTAATTACGGACTATTGCGCCAAAGGAAGTCTTTATGTACGTGGCTTTTTAAATCCGTAGACGGGCCCGCGGCGGGCACCGGGGCCGGACACGCCGGTGATTTCACGTGATCTCGTTCTATTGTTACAGGACATCATCGAGAACGAAGATATAAAGTTAGACGATATGTTCATCGCGTCATTAGTTCACGATCTCATTAAGGTGAGTGCGTCCAGCGAGTTACGATCCGTCGCGGGTCTGCTGCCAGGCTTCTCTTAAAAATGATTCTACTCGAATCCAGGGTATGCTGTACATTCATGAGTCATCTGTGCTAGTCTGTCACGGTAATCTGAAGTCTTCCAATTGCGTGGTGACCTCCCGATGGGTACTCCAGGTCTCTGATTTCGGGCTGCACGATATGAGGCACTGCGCCGAGTCCGACAGCATTGGTGAACATCAGTATTATCGAAGTACGAACACGCTTGCCGGTACTATCGATCCTCGGCAATCTCGAACGAATCGCATGGTACATGGTCCCCGTGTCTTTTGCAGACTTATTCTGGAAGGCGCCCGAGCTGTTAAGGAATCCCAATGCTCCGATCAGAGGAACCCAGGAGGGAGATATTTACTCGTTCGCTATAATACTGTTCGAAATCATTGGTCGGAAGGGACCGTACGGTGGCGTGAATCTAGAACCCAAAGGTAACGCAAAAACACCATAGAACATCCCACCCGTTCTTCTCTGTCTCTCTTTCTCTCGTTAGCGCATCAATGCGATCCCTTGTACGAACCGTTTTTGAATCGACAGAAATCATAGACCGAGTGAAAAGGTTCCCAGAGGATGGCGAACCGCCGTTTAGACCTAACATAGAGATACTGTCCGAGTCCGAGGCGGACTGCGCCGAGTATATAGTTAGTACGATTACCGACTGCTGGGCGGAGAGTCCAGAGCTTAGGCCCGACTTCAAAATGATTAGGACCCGGTTAAAGAAAATGAAGGCGGGCCGGCATCGCAATATAATGGACCAAATGATGGACATGATGGAGAAGTACGCGAACAACCTCGAAGATCTAGTCAGTGAACGTACACGCCTTCTTTACGAGGAGAAGCAGAAAACGGAGGATCTGCTTCACAGAATGCTTCCCGAGTGAGTTACACTTTCACAGTCTGCCCGTCGAGACCCATGAATCTGCAGCATTGCTTGCTGATCGAACCGAACGTGTTTCTTGCAGGCCCGTAGCTAACTGTTTGACGAATGGCATCGGCGTAGAACCGGAAGCCTTCGATCTGGTCACGATCTACTTCAGTGACATCGTCGGCTTCACCGCAATGTCTGCGGAGAGCACACCGTTCCAGGTACGCTTATCGACGTACAAGCGTAGTAACTCTAGTCCAAATACATCTTCACATGTTCTAATTACTTTGATAACCGTTTTCGTAGGTTGTAAACTTTTTGAATGACCTGTATACTCTGTTTGACCGCATTATTAAAGGCTACGACGTGTACAAAGTGGAAACCATTGGCGACGCGTACATGGTGGTGAGTGTTCTCCGATCGCCGGCCGTGATAGACAAAAGTGTCCTTGTCGTCCCAATCCCGCGGAATCCCGTCACCGTTCCGCGTAATTTCACAGCAATCAAATCTCTTCCAGGTTTCCGGTTTGCCTATAAAGAACGGGAACAGACACGCCGGCGAAATTGCGTCGATGTCCCTGGAGCTACTCAACGCTGTGAAACACCATACCATTACGCACAGGCCTCAGGACACGCTTAAATTACGTATAGGAATCCACACAGGTGAGGTGTTCCGATCGATTCGTCGGATCGACTCGTAACAGTTTCACGGAGATTTGTTAAATAAATAAAAAAAATATATCAATTCCCGCAGGTCCTGTGGTGGCGGGTGTAGTCGGTCTAACTATGCCCAGGTATTGTCTCTTTGGAGACACGGTGAACACTGCCTCCCGCATGGAATCTAACGGCGAGCCGTTGCGTATCCACATAAGCGGGCAGTGCAAAGATGCCTTGGACAAGATCGGTGGTTACATCATCGAGGAACGCGGTTTGATTCTCATGAAGGGAAAGGGAGAAGTGAAGACCTACTGGCTCACCGGAGCCACCGAGAAGGCCATCCAAAAACGAGACGTGGGTTCACAGTCCTGTAACAAACAGTTACCCGACTATCTCATAAGCTACTCGACTTGTCTGAGTAACTTTTGTTTAACCGGATATCTCGAACATTCGATCGAGATGTCTATGGTCGATATTAACGACTGCTGTATTCATTCTAGGTTGACGTAGGTGACCTGCCACCGCTTTTCTGCAGACCGAGAAGAAGCCCGAAATTGAACTCGGATTCCCGTCAAGCTTCGTTGTTGGGTGGCCTAGGAGCAGGCAGTCGAAGACAGTCGAGCGTTCCGCGGCCAACGCCCGACGACTCGACGTCCCAATGCGGGGGATCCAGCCCAGTACCACGATCTTTCAACTCGAGAAAGATAGAACGATCTCCTCTTTACGTAGCCGATAGCATATCGAAGACAACGTTGGACAACGTTGCGCTGACCGAGGTCGAGACCCGAGCGCTCAACATCAAATTGGCCCTCGACGATATCTTCATCGACACCAGGCCAAAGTTCCGAAAGAACGCGAGGGTATTGTCGACGATAGCCTCGTCCTCCTCCACCAGCGACTACCCGTTCCAGAATATTATGCGGGAGTCCCGGTCGCTGGACCCGTTCCCGTTAGAGCTGTACAACAAGAGGTTCGAGTCGCCGAACTTTTCGTGGAAGGAGCCGAAGAAGAGCTTCCGGTCGTTAGAGAACTGTGACAAGTGCACACGGACAAACTCGAAGACGAACATATCTGGAAAAGTGTTGAATAACAATTATCCCAACGGTAATGTGATAATAGCACCCCATACCGACGGATCCCCCAACGAGGCGGAGACACCTCTGTTAGGGGACGAAAGTAGCTGTATCGGGGAGGTAGTGCCTGTTAAACGTTGGCGTTCGTTAGACCAAGTGGCATCTGTTCCTAGTACAGACAATGTGCCGGATAAGAAGTCCTCCGCGAGGCACTCGATCAGAAGCTGGTTGGTAAATCTGTTCAGTGGTAACGGGTTAAGGAATAGCGACGTTTCACTGAGACGTGGTGTGATCGCCGGTTACGATATACAATCGGAGCGCGAAAGTATAGTTTAATAATAGAAGTCTCTTCTATTTTCCCCGAAGAGAGAGAACGCAAAAGTATGGAAACTCTGTGCTATGAACCGACACGAGTGCACAAAAACTTTCTTACAAGGTTTACGAGTCATAATCATGATGTATTGTTGCCATTTTTCTTTTCTCCTTCTTTTTAGTGTAGATACGTGGAATGTATGGGTATAAAAGTTACCGATCGTGTATGTTTTTAATGCCTAGATATTTTATAGACATTGTACTAAAAGCACGCGTTGCATATCGGCGATGAAACGTATCTTCTACATAGCGCGGGATTATATCTATTAGAGGTCGTTTTTTTTTCTTTTTTCTTCTCGTTCTATTTTTTTCTTTTTTTAATTCAAATTCTAATGATGAGAATAGAAGCGAACTGTTTTATGAAAATGATTAACCAAAGTACATGAACGCAGAGAATCAGTAGGATATCTATCTCGAGTTTAGCACAAAACGATGATTCCCCCTTTTTGTGATGCAGGAGAATGCTGATGCGACACGCATATACATATTAATGTGGCGAGGACACTCACGCGACATTCGAATTTACCAGATTCAAACATATGTATGTATGTATGTATGTATGTATGTATGTATGTATGTATGTACTGTCTCTTATACACATCTAGATGTGTATAAGAGACAGATGTATGTATGTATGTATGTATGTATGTACTGTCTCTTATACACATCTAGATGTGTATAAGAGACAGATGTATGTATGTATGTATGTATGTATGTACTGTCTCTTATACACATCTAGATGTGTATAAGAGACAGATGTATGTATGTATGTATGTATGTATGTACTGTCTCTTATACACATCTAGATGTGTATAAGAGACAGATGTATGTATGTATGTATGTATGTATGTACTGTCTCTTATACACATCTAGATGTGTATAAGAGACAGATGTATGTATGTATGTATGTATGTATGTACTGTCTCTTATACACATCTAGATGTGTATAAGAGACAGATGTATGTATGTATGTATGTATGTATGTACTGTCTCTTATACACATCTAGATGTGTATAAGAGACAGATGTATGTATGTATGTATGTATGTATGTACTGTCTCTTATACACATCTAGATGTGTATAAGAGACAGATGTATGTATGTATGTATGTATGTATGTACTGTCTCTTATACACATCTAGATGTGTATAAGAGACAGATGTATGTATGTATGTATGTATGTATGTACTGTCTCTTATACACATCTAGATGTGTATAAGAGACAGATGTATGTATGTATGTATGTATGTATGTACTGTCTCTTATACACATCTAGATGTGTATAAGAGACAGATGTATGTATGTATGTATGTATGTATGTACTGTCTCTTATACACATCTAGATGTGTATAAGAGACAGATGTATGTATGTATGTATGTATGTATGTACTGTCTCTTATACACATCTAGATGTGTATAAGAGACAGATGTATGTATGTATGTATGTATGTATGTACTGTCTCTTATACACATCTAGATGTGTATAAGAGACAGATGTATGTATGTATGTATGTATGTATGTATGTATGTATGTATATGTATAATTCTATACTTGTTCACTGAAGGAAAGCAAATTATCCGTATGGCTGTGAAAAGTGAACTAGATTGTACCTAAGGTGCTTAGTAATATATCATCTTGTCAAATGTATATAAGTGAATAATAATATATCAATGTAAAGATAAAAAGTGTAAATTAAAAGAAATATTCTATATTCTGTAAGAATCGAGTAAAGATACGTCTTTTCAAATAATGTACAATTTGATTTTTTTAATAAACAGTTACATCTTGTTCCCCTTTTCAGTTTTATTTAACAATCTATACATATACACAGTTCATCCAATTTATAAATAGTTGATTCTATACATATTCATGAGAAGTTCTCATTTATTTTCATATACTAACTAAAGTTAAATGACTGTGTCTTGACCAGAAAGAAACTTCGACATGAAATCTGTTGGCTTTGCTACCTCTGTTTCTTTCCAAACATCCATCAGACGTCCTTTAGGTATCCACGCCTGGGATATTTCTTGAAGCTGCATTTGTCCCTGATGCAATCGTATTTTATTATTAAATCTTGTATGCAGTATCATCGACTAGGTATCGACTATTTTTATATGAAAATAACTCGAAATAGATTTGCCTCTTAAGAGTAGAAATACATATATGTCCAATGTATAATGCAATAGTACAAATAATTTCATACCTTCAATATAAGAATATCTATAACTCTTATATCTACGACATGTTGATTTTTCAAAAATTCTTCTTTTAACTTTTTTCTACACTCAGTTACTGATTTAGGAATATCATAGTCCAATACTATAACAAATGGAATTCATATAGAAGTTGGTCATGAGTACCTGTCAGAATATTCTGATAAATATACAAACACAAAATATACAATGCACAGTAAAAGATACATAGTTAAAAAGGTACGCAGAATACCAAGGAATAATACTATTTTTATCATACTAAGGTTAGATCATATTGGGGATATTACATCTGATTAATATTGATATAAGAAATTATTGACATACATACCCGTTTGTGGAATCTGTCGGTAATATGCTTTATATAACGATATTACTCTTCTGTGCGCATCTTCTCGATTGATAGAGAGAATTGGTTTCACTTTTTTAAGTGCTAATTTTATAGGAGTAGCAGCCATCTTCTCGTTATGCAGTACTAAAATCTGTTGTGAACGTATACCAACTGCGTATGGTGAAATTTATAGAACGTCTAGCGCTACATACGATAAAACAATCAAATTACTTGTTGTACAGAATGTTACATGGAAATTATGAATACCAAATGTTCCAACAGGAGTTTCGTCTCTATGTTCGTCACAACTATAACTAACTTAAATTGTTAATAGTGACTTTCAGACGGCGCTTCGGACGTTGTTGACGTCATGTGACATCTGTTACTATAGTAATTTCTCACCATAGTAAGCCAAGGGGGGGGGGGGGCAACCGGCTTAGAATTATGAAGCAGGTAGAGAAACTACTTCGCCTCTGATTGATAGACGCTTCACAGCTAAATAAGTCACACCAACGACCAATGTAGTTTGTTTCACTTTATCATGCTTGCGTTTGCTTGGCGCTCCTTCTAGGGGAGGCTTTTATCTAGGGACAAAAATGCTTGCTACGGTGATTGTACTAGTCATCACTACAAACTTCATGGCGAAATGGTCCAGCTAGTTTATCTGGGAATACGCATTACGTGTAGATAGCAGTACTCCGACAATTATTTCTTCGATTTGAAAAAGATGTTCAAATCTTTTGGAAAAAGTAAATTAAATTGAATCCCGTGCACTTTATGTAATATGTGGTATAAAAGTTTGTATTGAAGTTTCAATTTGGTGTCACTAAAATTACCATTTCTACTGGCTGTATGTTGTGCAGTAGATTCAACTCATCACATACAGGTTATTATTATCAACACAATTTTGCTCGTAAACGATATATGTATAGTGTGTGTTTTTTCATCTGTTGGCATACTTCGCATGCGTCAATTTCTGATCTTTCAACAGAATGTAAAACCACATTGACGATAGAGTGATTCCGTGTGATGGCAGATACACGTCAAAAATGTGTTTTACTTGTTAACGGTTTTACGTTACGAGTAAATAGTTAATCGATATTTTTTATTCGTTTTTTACAACCACCGTACTAGTTGTAATGAATCACGACAACATGTCAAGTGATACAATGAACTCATTACCTAGTGAGATAATTGTGAGGATTTTGGAGGACGAGCAACTCGGCTTTTCAGATGTGATTAATCTTGGTTCTACGTGCAAAAATTTGCATAAAATTATTGACAACGACAATATACTTTGGAGGACTAAGTGTTTTCAAAGGTACGATTATCATGAATTAATAAAAATGTCGTAATTGCACTGCGAGATAAAAACATTGAATTGCGCATTGAGCGTTAATTTTCCGCGAATTTGTGTATATAATAGATTGCGGTGTTCTGGGAAATCCGTGATTACTCACGCCGTTTTTGCAGACTATCCTTGTTCCAGGAGATACAAACAAATAGTTTCCATTATCTATATAAATTCCTTTTGATGAATTTGCGCATTTTAAATATGACTATAGCATTTTTATGATTATAGCATTTTTTATGATTGTGATCATACAAATTATATTAAGAACATGTTCGCAATGCTTATTGTTTTAATTTTAGATGGCCAAGCTTAAAAGACATTTATACAAACGAGAAATCAGAAAGCTATGTTGCGAATTGGAAAGAACATGTTAAGATATGTTTGGACATCAGAATCCAGTTATTCCATCAATTATCCTCAATGTCTAGCAAATATTATAAAGAGATGAATGATGAGTTACCAAATTCTGCATTTAAAGTGTTTGATCCCCTCTTTAGAGTGAAAGATGGTGCTTATCCCTTTGCTTATCAAGTTCTTGTGGACGAACTAATAGATTTAATTAAAGCTGATACTCTGTAAGTGTAATTAATCTATTAATTATGAAAGGTTTACATTGTAAACATGCAAACAGTATTTAGTAAATATTTATATTACACAGAGTGTTTGTATGTATATATGATAAATATTTTAATTTGCAGCACCATTATTTGTTTCAGAGCCAATAATTTGACACATAGGTATTATGGTCGTAAGGTTATTAGATACCTGAAACAAAGTCATTTGAAGGAAGAATGGCAGAAATTTATATCTCTACCTCCAAGTGAACAGACTTTAGAACGCGGTGCAACTATTGTAGCACAATGGGGTCAACCAGAAGAAAGACATGTGACATATTCATATATAGCATCGTTATTAGATTCTATTGCAGAGCAAACCAAAGCATTGCTAAAAGAACAACATCCAACTCATTCCATATTCTCAACACCAGAAGAACAGTTTGTATATTGGAGGAATAATATTATTGATGACAATCAATGGAACGTCCTAGAAACAGTCCAAGTAACAGATGCACTTTGCAAAGTATTATTTCATAAGTTAGGATTTTATGGAAGAGGGGAGATGTATTATTGTGCAGAAAACTCATTTTTAGATCGTGTAAGTCGCAAATTTCAAAATAATAGTATAGTTTATGTCAAGGTTTATTATTGTTTTATATTATAGTTAACACGGAATTAATTTCTATCTAAGTACCATTATTTATTGATCTAGGTCTTGGAAAACAAACGTGGAACTCCTATAACTCTAGCAATAGTATTCGAAAACGTTGCTCGAAGGCTTGGTGTATGCTGCGAACCTGTTTGTTTCCCGTCCCATTTTTTATTACGATGGAAAGAAACATAGTAAGTTTTAAATTACAAACTATACAGATCAGATCTTATTTGTATTATTTTTCCATATCTTCTTTTAGTGGTCCTAACTCTGACAAAGTAGAAAATTTGTATATTGATGTTATAAATGGTGGCGAATTTCTAACAAAGAATCATTGTCCTCAAATTGGTGGTGTCTCAAAATGTCCAATAAAAAAGTATAATGTTCGCAAGGCAGCAACTGCTGTGGAAGTTTGTATTAAATTTGAACTAATAATTATCATATCATATTACTTCCCACACATAATTAATTGTCAACAACCCTTAAAAGGTAATAAGAAGAATGGTAATTAATTTGGAAGTAGCTGTCAGACAAAGAGTTTGTGGGAGTTGGGGAGTATCAAGATTACGTTCTACATTCGAACTTGAACATATGGTGCAACCAAATGATGCAGATCCAATTTTGAAATTGGCGTCTTTATACAGTAACGAACATATGGATTTAACCGAAATTGAGGAGTTATTACAAGATGTGGATCAGAATGCAGCAACTGCACTTATCTCTTGGAATCTTAATGAACATTCCTGTTGTCCTCATAGATATGGTATGATGGAAAAAATAAAACCGAATAAGAGACGGCCTGCTCTTAAATATGCAGTAGGAATGATTATGAAGTATCAAGGACAGGCGTATGTGATAATAGGGTGGAAAGTAGTGATCCCTGCTGACAAGGGGACGTTATATGGATTGGATACTCTAATATACTATAATATAAAGTATAGTATACTTGGAGATAGTAATGCTTGTCAGTTTGTAGAGCAAGGTATTATTGACTTAATATAATTAGTAATGTATGTAAGAATATATTAAAAATATTCTATGAATTCTTTTTAGATGAATTGCAGCTCACAAAGCCACAATGCATCAACCATCCATCTGTCGGCAAATATTTTTGCAAATTTAATGGTACATATTATGTACCAAATAAGGAAATGGCAGAAGAATACCCAGAAGATGAGGAAGTTTGTAATACATTACTAGCTACAACCAAGACTTTCAGGCGTAAGAACTTGCAAAACTTGTCTCCTCTTGTCTAACCACTATTCAGCTCCAATGCAAGGGAAGGAGAAAAGAACTAGAAGCTTTGCTTCCGCTAGTTCCTACCTCTTTTCTTCTCCTTCGCGTTAGACAAGTAGAGGCAAGTTCTGCAAAAGTTCTTCCGCCTGAGAACCCTGGCTGGCTTCAACTGCTGCACGATACAAACGATAGTTAGACATGATTCCGGACTACAGCCCGCTGAACAATCTAAGATGGAGACAAAAATTGTTTTGATCTAATTGGGCTAATCGTCTCACTGCTAGGATAGAATTTACATGTGGATTGAATGCGCAGTAAACTGATGGGGATAGAAAGCTACACTGTAGATGTGTTTACAAAGCTTTACAACATAAAATACCAAGTACGTAGTTGTTTCTTCCTCTAGCTCAAATATGTACAAAGTAATAGTAATGAAACGAATATTAGATTATTAAGAAAATGAGAAGGTAATACTTTAATCCAGCATGGGCGAGTCGCGGCCCGTGGGCCAAATCTGGCTCTTTCCCACTTTTACAGCTCTCCGTGGTTCGTCCCCACTAAGCACCTTCAGCGTCCCTAACACACTCGCACGACGCGAGAAACGACATGACATTGTTTCTTCTGTGCCTCACGCTGCGCGTGACATCGTGCATCAAGTAGTAGTAGTAGTGGAGCTTGTGACCTACGGCCGAAATGACTCGCCCATGCAGAATGAAGAAGCGAACATTCACGCTTTCTTATTTGTCACTAAATAATGGGCAGCTTATTCTCATTTTAGTAAATTTTATAAAAAAAAACAAACAAACTGTATAGAATTTCTTCCAAAATTTGTGTATATGATATATAAACAAACTTACAATTTGTATAATAGAATTTGTACAGTCTATATTAAAATAACATTTTTTATATGTCTTATTAAAAATTCATGAGCTTTAAGCTATACATAGATAGCATTAAATCTAAGAAAATTTGAGGTTCAAAATATGAACCAAAATAAGCTGAAGCTAGTTCGAGTAACTTGAAATATGTATAAACATTTCGAACTTGAATACTAAAAATAAGAAATCATAGACTCTATTGTCTTTTTTTTATATAATTTTCTTTCATAGATCGTAAATATTTGAAGTGATCCTAAACTTTTAAGCTCTTGTGTAAATATATATGATTGTATTTATACATATAATTATTAAATGCAGAATAAGAAAGTAGTAAACGTATTCATAAATGAACTTTATAAACAGCAA